TTTGTGCCAAAAACCGCCCAATATGGTTGGGCTGTGAGGGATTTTAGGGTTGGGCCAAAAAAATCAAATAAATTCGCTTTAAAACGTTTTCCTAAGTCCGTCTAATTTTTTTTGAAAATTCAAGCCAAAAAATTATGTCCAAAACCCGTCCAAAATCAGGTTAGGACACCTTTGATCAACTCAATCTTGTATTTCCCCAAATTTATTATCTCTATAACTTGAAGATGAATTTGTTATATCTGGATATCTATTTTGATGTTCCCGCCTCCTTCTATGGCTAAGAGAAGTTTGGTTGATGCTGATGAGATCATCAAGGGAGAAAAATATTGATTTTTAATCACCATTAAAAGATGCAAAGAAAAAATTGATAAGAGGATGAAATTGTTACATGATATATAAGAGAGAGCCATGGAACATGGAAGCAAATGAATTAATGAATGATGATAATGAGGGAAATAAAAAAACTGTAGACACCTAAAATTGTCTCATAATTTGTAGCACCTGATGACAATAGGCGCTTTGTTCTCAATGGCCTCCTTTACGAGTAACAAAAAATCTTGTTAAAGGAGGAATACAGTTTAAAATCGCACCCATGGCCCTTTATCTAGCCTAAAAACTACAAATAATTACAGCTATATAACCTTAAATTGGGGTCCAAAAGAAAAATCAAACTCGAAAACGACCTTAGTCAAATTACAAACCTCCAAAGAAAACCCTTTCCCGCAAGTAAAATTCTTAAGCATGAGGTTAAGCACTTATCTAACCCTTACGTGTGTCACCTCATTGAAAACAATCGAAAGGTTCCTTTCCTTAGCCCTGAAACACCCTAGAAGCAATCTTGACTGCTAAGTATTGGCGCATCACGCATAACCTGTGAGATGCCTCTAGGGTAAATTCCTTATAAGTACCCCCTATTTTCCGATACTCATTTTAACAAGAACGACGCATTTGAAGCATACATAATTGCTTCCTAAACACACTCCCAAATTATTGAACTTTCTAAACGCTAATCACCCTACTATCACTAGCTCCTAAGAATATATTAAGCACTTGATTTTTGAAGAAAAGATTGGGGCTCGATCTAAGAGTTCCTCATGTCCAAAATAAAGTTGGTAACTTTCAAAGTTTTCTAAGCATGTTCTACTTAAAATGTTTCACTAAAACTATTCAAAATATATTTCACTAAGAAATTTACCCCTTGAAGTTCATACAAGTATAACCACTTGTAGCATGAACTAATAGGTTTCCTTTAGGAAATTTTAGATTTTAACACCTCACAAAAACCCAAAAATGGTTTTTAACACCATCATAAAAAAAAAATTTGATTTTAACACCACCCAAATTTCAAAAAATTGGGTATTACCACCACTTAATTGATTTCGTTTACAAATCCGTTAAGTCGGGACATACAGACATGTGTCGCTTTGTTATTGGATAAAAAAATAATAAAAAATAATAAAAAAATTAAAAAACAAAAAATAAAAATTTAAAAAAAAATAAAAAACCTAAAACTACCCCCAGCCACCCCAGCCCCACCACCGCGCCACCTGATTCGTCCCCCAACCCACCCCCTTCCGGTGTCCGGCGTCCCAGAGAATCGCCCGGCGCCGACGACCCCACCCCCACCACCCCCCTTTCCTCCACCTATGCACCCCACCCCTTCCCTTTCCCCATTTTTGTTTCCCGACCCACCACCCCGAAACCACCCTAAACGCCCCCTCCCCCGGAAAACGCCTCTCTTCCCCTTCCTCCTCCCCCGGAAATGCCATCCCTCTCCTTACCCCCTCCCATTAATCGATTCCCTACAACCCCAAACGAAACCCTAAAACCCGTTTAGGGTGGTTTCGGGGTTGTGGGTCGGGAAACGAAAATGGGGAAAGGGAAGAGGTGGGGTGCGTAGGTGGAGGAAAGGGGGGTAGGGGTGGGGTCGCCGGCGCCGTGCGATTCTCTGGGACGCCAGACGCCGATAGGAGGAGGGTTTGGGGACGGCGGTCGTGGCGCGGTGGTGTGGCTGGGGTAGTTTTAGGTTTTTAATTTTTATTTTTTTAAAACAAATAAAATAGTGACAAGTGTCACTGTGGACCACATTTAACGGAATTTTTTAACGAAAACCGTTAAGTGGTGGTAATACCAATTTTTTGGAAATTTGTATGGTGTTAATACCCATTTTTTTGGGAGGTGTTAAAAACCATTTTCGGGTTTTTAGCAGGTGTTAAAATCTAAAATAACCTTTCCTTTATGACCATGATTGGAGTTTTGCTCTTGGATTCCCCAATTATGGGATTCTAGCCTACACTTTCCGAAGTTAAGAAAATTATTCCAAATCCTTTTTCGCTTTTAATCTTGGTCTCTTCTTAATCTAACCTATTCTTTGAGCATGAAAGCCCTAATCTTGGTTGAGGTTCATATTGCATTTAGAGTTAATTAAAAAAATTTATGTTTTCAAGTGAATTTACAAAACTCTTTCTTCTTGTCCAAGGAAGCCCTCGTCAAAGGCAACCCTTTATAGGGTGAATACCCCCTCCCCCTTTATGTAGTAATTTTTAGGTATCACTTTAGAATATGTGCATGAATTGATGTATAACTACTCCTCATTTTCTAAGCCTTGCAAGTTTAATTTGTCTAATGATAGTTAGATACATAGGGATTGAACCATTTTCCCTAAAGTTAAGACCTTTTATGGAGTAATTATTTTTTAATAGGCATAGCTCTTAAATGTCATATTTAAATGAGCACCTAACATTTCGTTTTTAGCACTTCTATTATTATGTCATTATTGCTCAATTATTGCTTTAGTAATGCCTAATCAATTGCTTATTTCCAATGGTAGCCAATTATTGCTTTAAATTTCCCAATGGTAAAGGCCACGCCACTGTCTAGTTTCTATTATGATGTCATTATTGATGAATTATTGCTTAACTATTGCCTATTGCTTTCCCCTCAACTATTGCTTATTGCTTAATTATTACTTATTGCTTATTCCCAAATATGGTAGCCCTCAACTATTATGATGTCAATATTGCTCAATTATTAACGGTTTAGAGTTAATAAGGTTACGGTTGCAACTTTTGAAAATAGAGTGCTTGAGAATCCAAAAAAAAAAAAATGGCTACCATTGAGAATAAGCAATAGTTAAGGGATACCATTGAGAAATTCCTATTATTGTATTACTATTTTCTATTTCAATTGTTGCATTCCTTTTTCTATTGTAATTTTTTTATGTATTCATTTAGACATGTATCTCTCTCTCTCTATACTATATCTTTATGTGTCAAGCCTCAACCTTTGCATGTAACTTGAATGATTTAAAGGGGTCACATAGCAACCCTACTCAAAGTATGCTAATTCGAACTGACAAAATGAAAATGTTGAATTAATTTAGTGCGTTCAAAATAATACTTCACTTCACAATATGCACTAAACTCACTCCAAAATAATTCGACGATTCCGAATTCGAAATTCAAAGGTTTCAAAGACCAATACATGCTTCCATTCTTACAGGAGTAATTATTTGGAATCATTTACTAAAGTTTCTGTGAATCCTTTAAAAATTACGGTGGCGACCCTATAAAGCGTAATAGTGTACAAAACTTGTAAACCAAGTCAAAACGTAGAAATGGTATAATCCCATCAAGCACTTCTTTCCTCTCTACAGAAAACAAAAAAAGAGAATGAAGATAGTGTCGATGGCAAGCAGCAAGGTGCAAAATTAGGAGCAAAAAATAATTTCGTATTCAAGGGAAAAAGTATTTATTAGTGTCGACTTTTAATAGCCAAAGATGTAAAGAAAAGATTGAAAAGAGTAAGAAAATTGGGAAACCAACATAGGATAGATGAGAGAGTGGAAGAAAATGAATGAGTGGTGGTGAGGGAAATTGAGAAAACAAGAACAGGAATGAGATAGCACATATGTTAAGAAGTAAAGAGAAAAATTAGGGGTCATATGGTAATTTAATTCAAACCCAAAGGCATTAGTGTATATTACTTTCGATTTTTAATAGCCAATAAAAACGTAAGGAAAAACTTGAAAAAAGAAAGGAAATGAGAAACTGACAAAGGATAAATAAGAGAGAGTCAAGAAACATAAAAGCAATTAAATGCGTGATAGTGTGGAAATCGGGAAAGTAAGAAGAAGAAACAAGATAGCAAAGGTGACAAGCATTATTAAGGAGTAAAATTAAGGGCAGAAAGATTAAAGTATTTTTTATTATTATCATTTTTTAAAATTTATTAAAATATTTGGAGAATTACTGAATAGAGGAAGAAAATTGGGAAACTGACAAAGGATAGATGAGAGAATAAGAGCAAGTGAATGAGTGGTGGTGAGGGAAAGCAAGAAGAGGAAAGGACATAGCATATGTGGCAAGCAATAGAAGCAAAATTATATTAGGGGGCTGAAAGATAATTTAATTCATAACCAAGGGCTAAATTGTCCTTTTACTATCAATTTTTAATAGTCATCAAAAGATGCAAAGAAAATTTGAAAAAAGGAAGAAAATTGGGAAAATGACATTAGATACATGAAAGTTAGTGCCCCATTTAACATGGAAACAAATGAATGAGTGATAGTCAGGAAAATAAGGAAAGCAAGAAAAGAAACGAGATACAAAAGGTGGTAAGCAATAGGGAGCAAAATAAGAGGGGAAAGATGATTTCATACCCAGGGGCAAAAATGTTTCTTACTTTTTCATAAGCAAAATAACATGCATTTCTTACTCTTAAATATGTAGTAGGTATTAAATTAAATATCAATATATCTCTTGATATCAATGTTATTAATTATAGTATCCTGTTATCTTTGGTATAATAGGATATTATGCTATATAAATATCTTTAATTCAAATTTAATTAATAGTTATATAGAATAATATCTGATTATATCAAATATAATAATACAACAGTTTATAACATACAAAGTCAAGAGCATACCTTTTGACCACTCTAATAATTTAGCTTTTACTCTATAAATAACCATTAATTTCCCTTTGATATCTATCTCTTCATATCCTTTAGTCCCTTATACACATTGAAAATAAAATGTCTTTCAACCCTTTTGATCTCTTCATTTTCTTCTCTTTTTTTCTCTTCATTTTCGCTTTCATATACTTTCTATTCCTCAAATCCAAACCACCATCATTCTCAATAAAACATTCTAATACTACCATAGCACATGGTCCTCCTTCTTACCCTATTATTGGATGCCTTATTTCCTTTTACAAAAACAGAAAGAGGCTCTTAAATTGGTACACCGACCTCCTCTCCGAGTCATCGACACAAACAATTGTAGTGAGCCGCCTCGGAGAACGTAAGGTGATCGTAACAGCTAACCCGAAAAATGTTGAATACATTCTTAAAACAAACTTCTCTAACTTCCCAAAGGGTCAGTCGTTTACAGAAGTTTTAGGAGATCTTCTAGGTAATGGTATATTTAATGTTGATGGCGAATTATGGGCGAATCAAAGGAAGTTAGCGAGCCACGAATTTACAACAAAATCATTACGAGAATTTGTTGTAAGAATTTTGGAAGAAGAAGTTGACGCTCGACTTATTCCATTGCTTCAACTTGCTGCTCATGAAAATAGAATCATTGATTTGCAGGTAACTTATTATGTTTAATTATTTGTTAATTATCCATGTTGATTACTTATATAACATATGTCATGTTATCATAATTCATTCCTTTTATTTAAATAAGATTATTTGCATTTTACCACCCCTCAAATCACCCATTTTATTTAGAAATTATATTGTAGCAGACTGTCAATTTTCGAATCAACCTGCAAACCCAACCCGAACCTAACCCGTTTTTCAAGGTCTTGAACAAAGTTCTTTGACCTGTAATCAAATATAACCTGAACCCGTTCAACCCGTAAATTTGTGGGTCTAACTGAACCCGAACTCGACCTGACAACCCGATTTTATGGAATTTTTATGATAACTACATTTATTTGAAAACTAATATTAGTTTATTAATTAAGTTTGATTGTTTATCTACTATCAAACATTTATTTTATCTCTTTCTCATTTATCTATATCTCATATAACTCTTGTTCAAATCCACACCAATCACCTCCTACACTAAATGCATCCATATAGCTCATATCACCGTCATACACTGATCGATAGGTCTACTGATATTATTTCAAGAAATATTATACTTTTACATATATATAATTATGTTGGTCTCTTCCTTAAATTTTGGAATGTAACTAAAAGTTTTATTTTAAGTTTATTATCATTTTTTATTAGTTAGTAATTGATGAGCTTTTGTGAAAAGGTGACAAATTTATATTATATAGTATGTAATGGCTAAAAATAATGCGGTGAATAAGTTTGATTTAAAAATTGAAAATAAAATAGCAAAGTAATCTTGAAAAAAAAAATTAAAATAAGTAAAAAAAATTAAATAAAAATTGTTTTAAACCAGTTGGGTTGAATCAAACCCGAAACTTTGGGTTTGGGTTGAGCATTTCTCAACCCGTGATCCGGAGCAACCCAAGCTGAACCTGACCCGATTGACATGTCTATATGATAGTCATCCTTAAAATGGCTGGTACTGTTATACTAATTTTATATTAATTGTTTTATTTATTTATTTTGTATGTCAAAATTAATTATAAATGTTTATATATATATATATATATATATTATTTTCATAATTAATTTATGAATCATTTTCTAATTTTAGTAATATAAAAATTGAATTTTGTAAATTAATCAGAAAAATAATTAAAAAAAAATTCAAAACCTATTTTGAATTTAATAAATTATTTTTGATTAATTTTGACATTAACAAAATAAAAATAACTAATAAAAATTAGTACACTGGTATAGTTACCATAGAATTATATATATATATTTTATTTACTATCCTTTAACTTTATTTAAAAAGTATCGGACATAAAATTGCATTTCACCACCTTTTACCTTGATTCGATTAACTTTCCGGCTGTGGGGTTCGTGTAACGACTATTTTGACCATTTTAAAGTCTTTTTCTCCTCCATTGACTACTTCTATACTATTTATTTTAACAAAAATGAAACAGGCATTGGGATGAATGAGGTGAGCATTAAGCATTTATATTCAATAATTCTCCCTCTGTTTTTTAGATGTTAGTCTCATTTAGAACCTTTTGACTATTAAAATTTAGAAAAAATCTTTCAAATTTCTCTCTATATATAAGAACAAACAATATCTAAATATTATAAGTTTTTCTAGTGTGAGATTAAAGATATTAGCGATTAAAGATTTGCATTGATGTACGTAAATGAGACTAACATTAAATTACGAAGAGAGTAGTAAAGTATACTCCCCCCGTTCCTAAATATAGGGACCATTTGATAGACTTTTCACAGTCTCCAATCGTCTCTTAAAACGTCTATATATATCTTTATATTCAATTCATACACCTAAAAATTATTAAAACTTAATGTTAACAAAATACACAATGTGACGAATCTAATAAGATCCTACATGAACATATAATCTTTCATAATTAATGGAAATTTATGGTCAAAGTTTTCAGAGTTTGATCTAAATAAGTCAAAAGAGAACTATATTTAGGGACATAGGAAGTACAAATTATTACTTAGACTATTTCTTTATTTAGGGACTCAGAGAGTGGGGGTGATGAATTTTATGGTCAAATGTGGTATATTTTACGAAGAGGTCAAATGTTGTATAATGCACGTATTTTTTAATTGAAATATTTTGACATTTAATTTAATACTACTTATTTAATTTACTTTGACTATTGACTAATGTTAATGTTTTGTAGCTAAGAAAAGGTATAATATGCTATTTGATGGAATTGTCTAATAAATACTTATTAATACTCAATTGTTATAATATCCTGGGAGTTCACTTAAAAAAGGGAAGGAGTGTGCGGAGAACCATTTTACGAATGATTATTATTTTATACTACATAGTAATAGTAAGTGTGTATTAATAAACTACACACACACACACACACATATATATATATATATATATATATATATATATATATATTAAGAGTTAAATTGTATATATTATATTTTTTTTAATTTTATTTAATAAAAAATAGCATTGTAAACTTAAAAAATTTGTTGTTGAACTGTTAAGTCACGGGTATTAAGGTTGTGTTTAGATCTGATAAGTTCTATTATAGGTTAATTATGGTTATCTACATTCAATTGACATTAAAAAAGTCTAATAATAAGGTCAGGAGATTTATTCCGTAATAAGTTCGGTTAAGACAAGGTAATTTCAAATAAATGTTATTTTATTTATTTTTTTTGATAAAAAAATTTATTCAAAAATAACATGTCACACAAAATCCACAAATAGATCTAACAAATACATTATAAATAAATAAATATAAAAAAAAAATCCTTTCAGCAAAGCTATGATTGTTGTTGCAAATTAGACATTCTTCATATAATCATAACATCTTTTATATCGTTATTGTTTGCAGTCTTTTTTGATGAGGAGGTCTATTGAATTGTTGTGATTGTGAAGAAAATTCTTTCTCATTTCAAATGTTTGTTATAAAAAGATAAATTCTTTTTCAATCTTGGATAAATTTTTACTTGTAAAACAACTTGTACAATACCAAACAACTGAACTCAAACAAAACCCAACACAGTGACACTACACTTGAAGAATGTAGTATTATAAAAATTATTAATAAAACATGAAGAAAATAAAGGACCGAATAAGGGTTGAAAATAGCCAAATTTCCAAAGAAATTTAATTATTTTCGGCCTAGGAAACACTAATGTTAAGAAACTAACCTTAGAGACGAAAATAGGAAAGAGAAGAAGGGAAGACTTAACCTTAATAATTGAAAGTAATTAATAATTCATGTCGTTCAAATAAATTTAAATTAGATAAATAAGTTCATATAAATGAAAATTAAGTGAATAGAATACTTCTACACTAATAAAGGAAAAACATACATCATCATGTAGATTATTTATATATTAAGGTGGTAGATATTTGTAGGATATAAAGATATTAAATTTTGAGTTAGTGCGATCAATGTCAAGCACACTCGAGACTTTTTCTCCTTAGGACCTTATAATAAAATTTATTTCTCAAAAATTCCATAAAAAACATGCTTTTCACGATAAATGAAAGATGTAGACCTTCTAATTATCATTTATTTCGGGTGTTTTTTGGAAGCATATCACAAAAATAGAGAGTTGTAACTTATAAGGCCTTTGATATTATATATCTTTGGCATATTTCAAGTAATATTTATATGATTATTATTTCATGTGTGAATTGTGTTCGGGGAAGGAACTTTGATCAAATGATTTATAGAGCTTTTACTTAGCTATCTATTGAGTCACACTATTCACTAATTAACCAGTGATAAAATGAAACTTAGATATGTTTAACAAGAATGTCTAAAAAGAAAGTAAAATTGATAAACGAAACAACATTAATAAGGATGGAAATAAAGTACTTATGAACATTTCCTTAATAAAAAAAGTACTCTAGAAAAATAAGTTAAAAACTTATTTTGGGATGGAAATAAGTAGTGAATCAATTTAGGTCATTTTCTTTCCCTCATATAATTATTTAAGTTACTTGTCAAACAATTTAAATAATGTTTTAAGGTGTTTATTATTTTCAGTGTTACCTACTAACCTTATTAGTTTGGGGGAATTTTTTATTATTATTATTTTTTTAATAAGATTTGAGGTATTTGAGATGTGTCATAGTCTAGATATTTACATATATATTGATATTTCCAATACTTTTAGCATTATCTTCACATATTTCTAATTTTTTATCCTTTATTAAAACATAAGTTGCAGTAAAATCTCAGCAAATGCAATTATATTTTCTATCAATGCTAACTTTTTAACCTTCAGTCGTTTACTTACAGGAAATACTAAAAAGATTTACATATGATTCAATATGTAAAGTCTCCTTGGGGATTGATCCAAAATGTCTAGACCTCTCAAATCCAACCCCGCCAATCGTTACCGCCTTTGAAAGCGCGGCCGAGATCTCGGCAAAGCGAAGTGCTAGCCCAATCAATGTCATATGGAAGCTTAAGAGAATTCTTAACCTTGGCTCCGAGCAGCAACTCAAGCAATCCCTCAACATACTTCATAATCATGTTAGTGACATCATTTGTACTAAGAAAGAGTCACTTGCTAATTCAAAAGAATCCGAAAATCATGATCTCCTCTCCCGCTTTCTATTTGCTGGTTACGATGGCAATTTGGCTAGGGATATGGTGATCAGCTTTATTATGGCCGGTCGTGATACAACTGCAGCTGCAATGACATGGCTTTTTTGGCTTTTATCATCGGTGGACCTTGGATCTCGGGAACGTATTAGGGATGAATTGACAAGTGGGATAGACTTAAGTTCGGGTCCACTAAGGTATGAGATATTAAAGAAAGAATTAAAATATTTGCATGCTTGCATATGTGAGGCAATGAGGTTGTACCCTCCAGTTGCATGGGACTCAAAGCATGCCATAAATAATGATGTTTTACCAGACGGCACTAAGGTTAGTAAAGGAGACCGTGTTACATACTTTCCTTATGGTATGGGTAGAATGCAGGCAATCTGGGGGAAAGATTATATAAAGTTTAAACCAGATCGTTGGTTTGAAAGTCAGACTGATGACAAATCATTTTCAGACAATGAGAAAGATAGAAATAATCATGCAAGAAAGTTAAAGATGGTAAATCCCTATGAATTTCCAGTCTTTCAAGCCGGACCTAGGGTATGTCTTGGGAAAGAAATGGCATTTATTCAAATGAAGTATGTCATAGCCTCTATCATAAGTCGTTTTAATTTTGAGCCGGTTAATTGTGAACATCCAATATTTATGCCCCTTTTGACTTCCCAAATGGATGGGGGATTGAAAGTGAGGGTGAAGGAAATAATAAATTAAGTAATTTAGGGACTTATCGGATGATGTGCAAACCCATTAATTGTAATTTTGTTTGTTTTCCTTTTTTTTAGAAAATGAAAAATATTCAATCAATCATGCATTGTCATATAAAAATGCATATAGAGTGTTATATTCCCTATATTTGCCCCATTTTTTTTATTCTGTCCCGTTTAATTTCTTCATGCTATTTGTAACACCTCAAATATCCATGATCAGCAGAAATACATACCATTATAATAATTATAATTATTATACCTTAGGGATAGAGTTAGGCGTATTAACGCCATGTAATAACGTAAGACTACTTTAAAAACTCAGCTCAACTTAATAATAACTTGCAACATAAACCAACCCTTTCTTTATTATTACTTCAAAAATAACCAAATCATTGTCATTAGTACTCAAAATTAAATATAAAATAGGAAATTTTCATTTTTACCACCTTCAAATAATGACTTTGTCGAATTTACCACCTCCAAAAAAAAAAACATTTACTTTACCACCTCATAAAAAAATTAAACATCAGTTTTACCACCTCATCTGAGCTCAGGTGACGGAAAAACGCTTGTGGGGCCCAGCTAACTGTCACTTCCCTCCAATTTAATTCTTTTAAAATCGATTTCCCTCTGTCTCCTCCTTTTCTCACCTTCCATAATCAATGTCTCACCAAATTTCTCACTTCCTCATCAATTTTCGTCTCTCTCTCCTTTGATTTTTCTTGATTCTCACTGTAACTGCTTCTCTCTCCATTGATTTTTCTCTTTCTCTCTGTAAAAACTAAAACCCTAGATCAATTTGGGTGGTTGAAATCGAGCTGGAACCACAAAATTGCAACACATCAGCTTATCTTGTCATCTTCCACAGGGTGAGGGGACCAAAAGCTTGGTAATTTGCTGACAGAAATCGAGATTCCTGACTACAAGAGGTACTTTAAACCCTTTATTAGTACATTTCGTTGGATTTATGGTTGTCAATTGGGGTAAAGTATGCCTTTTTTGGGAATCTGTGAATTAAAGTATTATAAACCCTAATTATGCGAATCTTTGACTGAATTAGAGTGTGCATTTGTTAAATAATTAGTTAATTAGATTTACTTGTTTACTGTTAATTTAGTGCACAGTCAATGTGAATTGCTTTTACTTGCTGTAATTGGTGAATTGGTTGTTGTTGTTTACTGTAATTACAGAATGGACACAGTGGACTTAAAAATTACAGTAGGGGGTGCCTTTATACCTTCTTTAGCTGGTAAAAATAGGAGGGTGTTAATTTGGGATGGTGGGTGGGTTTATTGGATGAGAAAAGTGGAAAAAAATAAGATAGATGTACACTTTTTGAGGCAAGCAGCTATACATGGGTTTATGTATGTGAATGTGAAGGTTCCTAGGGGGTTTAGTTGCTGGTATAAACAAAAGGGCAAGTCTTGGGTGAATGGTAAAGGGAGCTTGTTGATGGTGAGGTGAATGGTTTCCTAGAGTCTGTGAACAAAGAGGGGGCATGTGAGATGTATGTTACCAGTCATGAGCCAATTGAAGGGACTAACAAAACACCCTTCAAATGTATAGCTGGGAATGAGCTAACCCCTGCACAAAAGAAGGAACTGAAAAAGAGGTTTGGTGGGCCTAAAGTATATAAACCCAGCCCAGAACTTAGTAAGCCCACTGAAGAAGAGCCATTTAGGAGAAGCCCTAGGTTAAAAGGCATTGTTATACATGACAGAGAGGCTTAGGAGAGGCTTCCTAGGGCAGAGAAAGTGAATGCTAATACACATAAAGGGAAGGGTAAACTCACTGCTGCAGATAAGGGTAAGGCTAAGGTTGGGGATGAGACTGGAAATCATGCTAATTTAGTGAGAAAAATAAAAGATAGAGTGAGGAGCTTAAGGGATGATAGTGATGTGTTTACTGATGAGGATGGTGGTACAAAGTCTTCTGATTCTGAGTTGAGTGATTTTGAGTTAGAATTTGATGAGGGAGAGGAGGACTTATACTCTGATGATGATGAAGAGTGGTTGAAGAAAAATTTAGACCATATTAACAGTGAGGTGAAAGGCAGTTTGAGGGGAGTTACTGAAGGAGGGGATCAAAGTGATGATGAGGACACAGGGTTTGACATAGAAAGAAATCTACAGAAAATTTAAGTGAGGGTTGAAGAGGAGGCAGCTTGTGATTCTGATGAGCTAAAGAGTGTGGAAGGTGATTCAGATGATGATCAGGGTAGTGTTACTTGGTTTAACCCTGAGACAGACTTTGAAAGGGCTATCAAATTTGTAGTTGGTCAAAGGTTCAATGATGTGCAAACAATGAGAAAATCTTTAAGACAACATGCAATTGAAAATAGGTATGAGTATTACCTTCTTCACAATGATTCAAAGAGGCTAACAACATATTGCAAAAGAAAATGCAAGTGTGTGTATAACAAGAACAGTTGTAGGATAGTGAAGTGTACATGTAGTAAGGGTGTTAGATGTAGGTTCAAGTTCTATGCAACAAGGCTTGTGAAATCAGAGGCTTGGCAAATTAAGACACTAAGGCTGAAGCATAGGTGTGTTAGGAGTAAAATGAACAACAAGGTGACAGCAGAGTTCCTTGATGACAGGTACTTGGAGGAGTTCAGGGGCAACCCCAGATGGAAGATTAAACAGATTCAGGACAGGGCCTTGAATGACTTGGGGATCAAAATTACATACTCCAAGGCTTGGTTGGCTAGAAGCAGGGCAAGGCTTATAATATATGGCTCTTCATCAGAGCAATACTCAAAGGTTTGGGACTATGGGAAGGCACTGCTGAAATGGAACCCAGGGAGTGAGTGTAATGTGGTGGTGGATGATATTAGTCAAATTGAAAGACCAATTTTTATGAGGATGTTTGTGTGCTTAGCTGCACTTAGGGATGGATTCATTTCTGGTTGCTGACCAGTAATTGGGGTGGATGGGTGCCATCTAAAAGGGGCATACCCTGGCATATCTTGGTTGCAGTTGGAAAAGATGGCAATAATGCCATCTTCCCAATTGCTTGGGCAACTGCAGAGATTGAGAACAAGGACAGCTGGTGCTGGTTTCTGGAGAGCTTGCTCAAGGCACTTTGTGTGTATGACCAAGGAGATGGCTTGACTTTTATGTCTGACAGACAGAAAGTAAGTGAGTTGTGTTTGTGTTTAAATTACTTTGCTTTATTTGACTTTTCTGTACACTAACTTATTAGTTTTGCCTTGTGTGTAGGGTCTCATAGAAGCATTTGCAGATGTGGCCCCCAAAGCTGAGCTCAGATTTTGTGTGAGGCATATTTGGTCAAATTTCAAACTGAAATTTCATGGTGCAACTTTCAAGGAATTGTTCTGGGCTGCTGCTAGGGCAAGCACTCTGGTAAGCTTCTATTTAGGTTCTTTTATGTTAGTTTTATGGTGAACTATAATGTATGCTAGGTGCTTTTTTGTTTAGTTTGTATCAGTTTTGTTTTTGCCCAAATACTTGTGAATTTTGCCCATTTATCTACATTTAGTTTTGCACATATTTGCATGTCTTTCTATTTTGTGAAAACTGTATGCCATGTGTCTATGTTGTGTTGAATGGTTGTCATGTGTGTGGTTGTATCAGTTTGAGTTTGAAGTTGCTATGGAAAGTATCAATTTTTTGGATGAAGAAGCATACCAGTGGCTGTCAAACATTGACCCCCAGCACTGGTCAAGGCATGCTTTCTCTACAAACTGCAAGTCTAACATGTTGTTAAACAACATGTGTGAGACATTTAATGCAGTGATTAATGATGCCAGAGACAAGCCTATTCTAACTCAAATGGAATGGCTTAGAAGATATATGATGAAGAGGAGTAATGACAAATGGGAGGCAGCAAAGTCTTGGGAAGGTTTACTAACCCCATTTGTCAACAAAGTCTTTGATGGGTTGGAGAAGTATGCCAGGACATGTGAGGTTACAGCTTCAAGGGATGAAATTTATGAGGTGAAATACAAGGATGATCAGTGCATTGTGGATCTACAAGAGAGAAAATGCACTTGTTATAGATGGGAGTTGACAGGAATACCTTGTGTCCATGCATTTGCTTGCATAATGGACAAAAGGGATGATCCTGAGTTGTATGTGCACCCACATTACTATAGGGTGACATACTTGGCTGCATATGAGAACCCAATACAGCCAATGCCTGGCCCTAAGAATTAGGAAAAGGTCAAGCTCAGACAGCCTTTGCCACCTATGCTGAAAGTGCAGCCAGGAAGACCTAAGGCAAAAAGAGAAAGCTTGAACAAGGGGAGGGCACTTCTGCAGCACCTGAGGGCAAGAAGCCAAAGGTGAAGAAACAATGCAAGAACTGTGGTGGGTTTGGCCACTTTTCCAAAACATGCAAGGCTGAAGCAGCACCAGAACAACCTAACCCACTTGCAACAAATCCAAAGGGTGGGAGGCCACAGATGAAGACTCCTTGGCTTAAGGAACAGAGAAAGAAAAGTGAAGAGAAAGCAGCAAGACATGTATTTTGTGTATTTTGTGACTTGAGTGTATTTAGTGGCTTTGTTTCTGAGTCTTGTCATACTGTGATTGCAGGCTGGGTCAAGTAATGTTGCACCTGCAACTGCTGTGTCAAGCCAGCCTGCAACAAGAACAGAGCCTTTGCCAACTCAGCCTGTTACCAGGAGCAACAGGAGCCTGAGTCAGCCCACAAGAGTACCAACAACTACTCCTCCCAAAGTCAAAATACAGACCAGGTCCAAGCTTCATGTAATGACAAGCAAGAAGGACAAGGATCTCAATCAACTGTGACCCTAGGTCTACTCATTAGTATTTTGTAATAGACAGCCAAGTTTATTAACTACACATGTGTATAGTAGGCAGTATATTTGGTAGTTGAACAATGATTTTGCACAAAGGTGCCTTAACTTTTGTCTCAGCCAATGTAAAACAATTAAAAACATTGTGTTGCAAGTACTAATACGAAATGTGATATGTTTCTACCAAAAAGTTCCATTTCTCATTGATTTAGTTAAAAGTAGTACAAGAAATGTCATCCCAACATCCACACATAATAATTCAACAAAACACAACATAAGTTGGGGATTTTTTTTGTTTCTAAGCATTCCTAAATGAACCTAAGATCTAAAATACATAGCCAGTACCAAACCAAAACAACAAAACACAACAATAGCATGTACTGTGAGCATTTTCTTTGTTGTTGCATTGCTGCCATGCACTTCCTTGATCATCTTCTTCCTGTCTGAGCTAAGAGCTTTGCATTTCATCTTCAAGCTGTCAATCTCATTGAGCAAGCACCTCCTTTGTCCACTAACATCATCAACTTCCCTCTTCATGTCATTCAGCTCTCCCTTCATTAGTTTCTTGTCCAGCAGCTAGTTGTTAATCACCTCTGTTTGCCAAGGTGTTCCATCTGGTTGATCCACCCACTCAAAAGCTTTACACCCCCTTGACTCAGTCACAGGATCATAGAATTTGCAGGTCCTAAACTTGCGTCCAGGGTTCTCCCTAGTCCAAGAAGTCATCCTAGACATTGGAACTCCACATTGGCATTTTTTCTCCTTTGAGGGTGACAT